GTAACTCCTCTTTCTCAAGCCCACCTAGACACTAAGCTATGTGTACTGTCATTGCTGGGTCCGCTCTCACGTATTGAGAAGGCAAAATCCATTTCTCAGCATGGCTACGCGTTTCGAGGCAGTAACTCCTCTTTCTCAAGCCTGTCTGCACACTGTGCTATTTATACTCTCAGCGGTGTGTGGGAGCTCTCATATGTTGAGAGGACGGAATTCATTTCTCAGCATGGTTATGCGTTTCGAGGCAGTTACTCTTCTTTCTCAAGCCTGCCTACACACTAAGCTATGTGTACTTTCATTGGTGGGGCAGCTCGCCTAGTAAGAGGGCAGAATTCATTACTCAGCATGGCTACGCATTTCGAGACTTAAACCCCTCTTTATCAAGCCTGCTTATCTGTAACACACTATACTGTCTGTGAAGGGGTAGTTCTCGTATGTTGAGAGGGTGGAATTCATTTCTCAGCATGGCTACGCGTTTCAAGGCAGTCACCCCTCTTTCTCAAGCCTGCCTACCTGTAACACTCTGTGCTCTTTATACTCTCCGTGACGGGGGAGCTCTCCTATGTTGAGAAGTGAACTCCGCCTTCTCGGCACATGGGACCTCCCCCGTCACGGAGAGTATACAGAGCACAGTGTGTTACAGGTAGGCGGGCTTGACAAAGAGGCTGCGGGGCGCGCACACGTGGGACGCAGGGCGTGGAGTTTATCGGTTCCTTTTTGCGCTGTAACCGATCTCTTGTTGGGTGCTCTCATATGTTGAGAGGGTGGAATTAATTTCTCAGCATGGTTTCGTGTTTCGAGGCAGTTACTCCTCTTTCTCAAGTCTGCCTACACACTGTGTTATTTATTCTCTCATTGGTGGGTCAGCTCTCATGTATTGAGCGGGCGAAATTCATTTCTCAGCATGGCTACGCGTTTCAAGGCAGTAACTTCTCTTTCTCAAGCCCGCCTACCTGTAACACTATGTTCTATTTATACTGTCCGTGACGGGACGGGGGGGGGCTCTCATATGTTGAGAGGGCGCAATTAATTTCTCAGCATAGCTACGTGTTTCGAGGCAGTAACTCCTCTTTCTCAAGCCTGCCTACACACTAAGCCATGTATACTTTCATTGGTGGGGCAACTCTCACATATTGAAAGGGTGGAATTAATTTCTCAGCATGGCTACGCGTTTCGAGGCAGTCACCCCTCTTTCTCAAGCCTGCCTACACACTAAGCCATGTATACTTTCATTGGTGGGGCAGCTCTCACATATTGAAAGGGTGGAATTAATTTCTCAGCATGGCTACGCGTTTCGAGGCAGTCACCCCTCTTTCTCAAGCCTGCCTGTACACTGTGGTATTTATACTCTCGTTGGCGAGGCAGCTCTCACATATTAAGAGGGCGGAATGCATTTCTCGGCATGGCTACGCGTTTCAAGGCAGTCACCCCTCTTTCTTAAAACCCACCTACCTGTAACACTCTGTTCTATTTATACTCTCCCTGACGGGGGGAGCTCTCCTATGTTGAGAAGTGAACTCCGCCTTCTCAGCACATGGGACCTCCCCCGTCATGGAGAGTATACAGAGCACAGTGTGTTACAGGTAGGCGGGCGTGACAAAGAGGCTGCGAGGCGCGCACGCGTGTGACGCAGGGCTTGGAGTTTATCGGTTCCTTTTTGCGCTGTAACCGCTCTCTCGCCAGGTGTGAAGCGAGCCTTTAAAGCGATCCGACTGATTTATCTTCGACTTTTATTTTTGATTGCGGTTCAATGCCGCAACCACAAGGTTGGCGCTGGGCTGCGACACAACGGGGCCCCGCTCACGGATAGGGGAGAGTTGCCGCCCGTCACACCCTGCGTGTCGTGTTAGAACTGCAGCAATGTGCATCACCCTGAGCGCCGTCGTGTGCCTTGTAAGGGGTTAGGGTGGTAAAAATGTGGATCAGCCACCTGTTTGTACCGCCCACGTGGCCACCTGTGTGAAAGGTGCCTTACTGCAGTGAAGGGCCATAAATATTTGAAGTGTCCCCTGTCACAGGGGCCCCGACTGAAGCTTGCTACGCTGAGCCTTTGGCACAAAGGAGGCTCATTCTACTGAATGACTTGTGAGGGGGGGTTCCCCTTTTTTGGCGACTCTCCCATCATGCTTTGCTGCTGATTCATTTCTTCTCTTCCCTTCCGTTTTGGCTGCTTTGACTTCCTGAATGACTTCTAATCTTCACAGAATCTTCGCGTTTTTGCGTCGCTGTTTCCCATTTTCACAGGAAGCTGCAGACGGGTTCTGGAAATAGAATTCTAACGTCTCTATCGCTCGCCCCGGATTGGCTTGCTGGCAGTGCGGCTTGCCATGCAGTTCTTGGCTGTGTTGACAAATGTCTGACACAGATCAGCCCCCCGCTGCAGCCTCTCACCTTGTGACTTGCTGCAAAGGTACAATGTACAGCCTGATCACTGGGGGAGGGGAGACTGAGGAAATGCCTCCTCCTCCTTCTACAAAGTTACAATGTACAGTCTGATCACTGGGGGAGGAGACTGAGGAAATCCCTCCTCCTACTTCTACAAAGTTACAATGTACAGTCTGATCACTGGGGGAGGAGACTGAGGAAATGCTTCCTCCTCCTCCTTCTACAAAGGAACAATGTACAGTCTGATCACTGGGGGAGGGGAGACTGAGGAAATGCTCCTCCTCCTTCTACAAAGTTACAATGTACAGTCTGATCACTGGGGGAGGGGAGACTGAGGAAATGATTCCTCCTCCTTCTACAAAGTTACAATGTACAGTCTGATCACTGGGGGAGGGGAAACTGACTAAATGCTTCCTCCTTCTACAAAGTTACAATGTACAGTCTGATCACTGGGGGAGGGGAGACTGAGGAAATGCCCCTCCTCCTTATACAAAGTTACAATGTACAGTCTGATCACTGGGGGAGGAGACTGAGGAAATGCCTCCTCCTCCTTCTACAAAGTTACAATGTACAGTCTGATTACTGGGGGAGGAGACTGAGGAAATGACTCCTCCCCCAGTGATCAGACTGTACATTGTAACTTTGTAGAAGGAGGAGGAGGCATTTCCTCAGTCTCCTCCCCAGTGATCAGACTGTACATTGTAACTTTGTAGAGGGGAGGGGCATTTCCTCAGTCTCCCCTCCCCCAGTAATCAGACTGTACATTGTAACTTTGTAGAAGGAGGAGGAGGCATTTCCTCAGTCTCCCCTCCCCCAGTGATCAGACTGTACATTGTAACTTTGTAGAAGGAGGAGGAGGCATTTCCTCAGTCTCCCCTCCCCCAGCGATCAGACTGTACATTGTAACTTCATAACAAGTCACAAGGTGAGAGGCTGCAGCAGGGGCTGATCTGTGTCAGACATTTGTGAACACAGCCAGGAACTGCACAGACACCGGGATTCCCATGTTTTTATCACGGGTGACGCTGGAATCTTAGCGTGTCGGGTTCTCGCAGATGTCAGGTGATATCGGCACTTTTTTCTTTTACATAAAGAATACATCTACTGATCTGAATATGAAATCCAAAATATGTGACGGCGAAAAGTGTTAAAGTCTCCTTTCAGGTGTATGTTGGGGGGGGGGGGGGGGGGGGGGTGCAGACGGTGGATTGCTCCCCCTGTTGGTGGATCCGCTGTGATTGCAGCCTGCAGTGAGCGCTCACATGGCGTGTTCATAGTCACAGGGGACATTGCACAAGAATGATTGCATCACCGCCCGGGGCCACAGGAGAGCACAGCTCAGTGTATGGGCTGATACTGGACCCGCGCTGACTGTAGAGGGACTACAAGCCCCAGCATGCGCTCTGTGAGGAACTACAGGTCCCAGCATGCATTGCCTGGGGGGGCTTATCAGTGTTAGAGAAGAACACAGCAAACAGCATAGTGGTTGATACTTCACAGGTTCTGCCTCTGGCTGGAAAGGGACTACAAGTCCCAGCATGCACTGCCTGAGGGACTACAAGTGCCAGCATGCATTGGCTATCTGAGGGACTACAAGTCCCAGCATGCATAGACTATCTGACTACAAGTCCCAGCATGCATTGCATTGGCTATCCGAGGGACTACAAGTCCCAGCATGCATAGACTATTGGAAGGACTACAAGTCCCAGCATGCATAGACTATCGGAAGGACTACAAGTCCCAGCATGCATAGACTATCGGAAGGACTACAAGTCCCAGCATGCATTGCGTTGGCTATCCGAGGGACTACAAGTCCCAGCATGCATAGACTATCGGAAGGACTACAAGTCCCAGCATGCATAGACTATCGGGAAGGACTATTGTCCCAGCATGGCATAGACTATCGGAAGGACTACAAGTCCCAGCATGCATTGCGTTGGCTATCTGAGGGACTACAAGTCCCAGCATGCACCACCAGAGCCTGCCCACTACGTGACAGCTCACCATCGGTGGAGCCCAGACCAGAGACAGCGGAACATTTGGGGTCACTCCCGCTCCTCCTGCCTGCAGCAGACCGATGGCATCACCTAGGCAGCCAAACCTGGCACTGGGACTGGTGTGGAACTACAAGTCCCAGGAGCCTTCAGAGGACTTCCAGCCACAAGTGGAGGCAGAGGGATGATGGGATTTGTAGTTCCTCCACAGCTGGAGCGCTGAGGTGGCCTAGGCACAGGCCTAGAGAGACTAACAGAATTGTGAGCCTAGGCAGAGTATCCAGACCAGTACCAGACAGTAAAGGTGGGCTGTGCGTGTTGCTCGTGGGGCTCATGTTGTGCGTTGTGTCGCCCCCTCGTTGCTCGCCTCGTGCGCTCTGTTAGATCTCGGATTGTCGCAGTTATTCGCGCTCCGCCGCTCTTTGTAATAGAAACGTTTTGGTTTTTATTGTTTGTTTTCACACCAGATGATACTAGAGCCGCTTCAAAGCCGCGGACTCCGCCGCCAACCCGCGTCTGCCAGATATTCGCACGTCCTGCGCCGTGGGCGACGAATCCTCGCTGTGCAGATCGGGGGCGGGAGGGGGATCGTTCTGCCTGCAAACCCTCCGCACTCCGCCACTGAGATCTCCATCATTACAGCGGGGGACACGGCCATCAAAGAGGACCTGTCACCGCCAACGTCCCAGCTGCCAGTCCACTGCTGATTGGCTGACAACGGCGGCAGGAATATAGAGGGGAGTGCAGGGTAGGGGGGCGCATTGTGTGTGAGGGGAGTGCAGGGTAGGGGGGCGCATTGTGTGTGAGGGGATGGCAGGGTAGGGGGGCGCATTGTGTGTGAGGGGAGTGCAGGGTAGGGGGGCGCATTGTGTGTGAGGGGATTGCAGGGTAGGGGGGCGCATTGTGTGTGAGGGGATTGCAGGGTAGGGGGGCGCATTGTGTGTGAGGGGATTGCAGGGTAGGGGGGCGCATTGTGTGTGAGGGGATGGCAGGGTAGGGGGGCGCATTGTGTGTGAGGGGATTGCAGGGTAGGGGGGCGCATTGTGTGTGAGGGGATGGCAGGGTAGGGGGGCGCATTGTGTGTGAGGGGGATGGCAGGGTAGGGGGGCGCATTGTGTGTGAGGGGAGTGCAGGGTTAGGGGGGGCGCATTGTGTGTGAGGGGAGTGCAGGGTAGGGGGGCGCATTGTGTGTGAGGGGATGGTGCAGGGTAGGGGGGCGCATTGTGTGTGAGGGGAGTGCAGGGTAGGGGGGCGCATTGCGTGTGAGGGGAGTGCAGGGGGTAGGGGGGCGCATTGCGTGTGAGGGGAGGGCAGGGTTAGGGGGGGCGCATTGCGTGTGAGGGGATTGCAGGGTAGGGGGGGGCGCATTGCGTGTGAGGGGATTGCAGGGTAGGGGGGCGCATTGCGTGTGAGGGGATGGCAGGGTAGGGGGGCGCATTGTGTGTGAGGGGATGGCAGGGTAGGGGGGCGCATTGTGTGTGAGGGGGGCAGGGTAGGGGGGGGCGCATTGTGTGTGAGGGGAGTGCAGGGTAGGGGGGGCGCATTGCGTGTGAGGGGAGGGCAGGGTAGGGGGGCGCATTGCGTGTGAGGGGAGGGCAGGGTAGGGGGGCGCATTGCGTGTGAGGGGAGGGCAGGGTAGGGGGGGGCGCATTGCGTGTGAGGGGATGTGCAGGGTAGGGGGGGCGCATTGCGTGTGAGGGGAGTGCAGGGTAGCGGGGGGGGGCGCATTGCGTGTGAGGGGAGTGCAGGGTAGGGGGGCGCATTGCGTGTGAGGGGAGTGCAGGGTAGGGGGGGGCGCATTGCGTGTGAGGGGAGTGCAGGGTAGGGGGGCGCATTGCGTGTGAGGGGATTGCAGGGTAGGGGGGCGCATTGCGTGTGAGGGGAGTGCAGGGTAGGGGGGCGCATTGCGTGTGAGGGGAGTGCAGGGTAGGGGGGCGCATTGCGTGTGAGGGAGGGCAGGGTATGGGGGGGCGCATTGCGTGTGAGGGGAGGGGCAGGGTAGGGGGGCGCATTGCGTGTGAGGGGAGTGCAGGGTAGGGGGGCGCATTGCGTGTGAGGGGAGTGCAGGGTAGGGGGGCGCATTGCGTGTGAGGGGAGTGCAGGGGGTAGGGGGGCGCATTGCGTGTGAGGGGATTGCAGGGTAGGGGGGCGCATTGCGTGTGAGGGGAGTGCAGGGTAGGGGGGCGCATTGCGTGTGAGGGGAGTGCAGGGTAGGGGGGCGCATTGCGTGTGAGGGGAGTGCAGGGTAGGGGGGCGCATTGCGTGTGAGGGGAGGGTGAGGCATTGCAGGGTAGGGTAGGGGGGGCGCATTGCGTGTGAGGGGAGTGCAGGGTAGGGGGGCGCATTGCGTGTGAGGGGAGTGCAGTGTAGGGGGCGCATTGCGTGTGAGGGGAGTGCAGGGTAGGGGGGCGCATTGCGTGTGAGGGGGAGTGCAGGGTAGGGGGGCGCATTGCGTGTGAGGGGGGGCAGGGTAGGGGGGCGCATTGCTGTGAGGGGAGTGCAGGGTAGGGGGGCGCATTGCGTGTGAGGGGAGTGCAGGGTAGGGGGGCGCATTGCCTGTGAGGGGAGTGCAGGGTAGGGGGCCCATTGCCTGTGAGGGGGGAGTGCAGGGTAGGGGGCCCATTGCCTGTGAGGGGAGTGCAGGGTAGGGGGCCCTTTGCCTGTGAGGGGAGTGCAGGGTAGGGGGCGCCACACCGGGTTGTACCGCCAGTTGGTTTGTAAGAATTTCTTCGTCTGCCGGTCATGTATAGACACGGAGACATCCGGAGACAGGGGCGGACTGACAACTCATGGGGCCCCCGGGCAATAGGGGATCATGGGGCCCCTGTGTCCTTGCCCACACTCAAAAAAGCCTATGAAAATGGTACCAGGGGCATCTCATGGGGCCCCCTACTGACCCCTGGCCCTCGGGCAGTGGCTGAATTTCCAAATGGTCAGTCCGCCCCTGTCCGGAAAGTGTTACAATGTATCTCTCCTGACCCTCTACAGTTGAATGGCTTCGTGTTGTTTTATTTGTTTCTATTTTACATTCGAAAAAAAGTCCTTGTGTCCAAATTGTATCCGGAGTCCTGTGTGTGTGTGTGAGGCCCATCGTTCTCGCGGGTTACATCGCATATTCTACAGAAGTCACCCCAACACTACCCCTCCCCGTCACCCCAACACTACCTCTCCCCGTCACCCCAACACTACCCCTCCCCGTCACCCCAACACTACCCCTCCCCGTCACCCAACACTAACCCTCCCCGTCACCCCAACACTACCCTCCCCGTCCCCCCAACACTACCCCCTCCCGTCACCCCAACACTAACCCTCCCCGTCACCCCAACACTAACCCTCCCCGTCACCCCAACACTAACCCTCCCCGTCACCCCAACACTAACCCTCCCCGTCACCCCAACACTAACCCTCCCCGTCACCCCACCACTTAACCCTCCCCGTCACCCCAACACTAACCCTCCTAACCCTCCGTCACCCCAACACTAACCCTCCCCGTCACCCCAACACTAACCCTCCCCGTCACACCCCCAACACTAACCCTCCCCGTCACCCCAACTCTAACCCTCCCCGTCACCCCAACTCTACCCTCCCCGTCACCCCAACACTAACCCTCCCCGTCACCCCAACACCAACCCCCCCGTCACCCCAACACTAATCCTCCATGTATTCCCAACAACCCAACAATTCCAACACCCCTCTCCCTGTCAACCTCAACACTACCCCTCCCCGTCATCCCAACACTACCTCTCCCCGTCACCCCAACACTACCCCTCCCCGTCACCCCAACACTACCCCTCCCCGTCACCCCAACACTACCCCTCCCCGTCACCCCAACACTACCCCTCCCCTCACCCCAACACTACCCCTCCCCGTCACCCCAACACTAACCCTCCCCGTCACCCCAACACTACCCTCCCCGTCACCCCAACTACCCCTACCCCTCCCCGTAACCCCACACACTACCCCTCCCCGTAATCCCAACACCAACCCTCCCTGTAATCCCAACCCTCCCTGCACTCCCCTCACACACAATGCGCCCCCTACCCTGCACTCCCCTCACACACAATGCGCCCCCCTACCCTGCCATCCCCTCACACACAATGCGCTCCCCTACCCTGCACTCCCCTCACACACAATGCGCCCCCCCTACCCTGCACTGTAATCCCAACACCAACCCTCCCTGTAATCCCAACACCAACCTTCCCTGTAATCCCAACACCAAACCTTCCCTGTATCCCGACAACCCTCCCTGTAACCCCAACCCCAACCCTCCCTGTAACCCCAACACCAACCCTCCCTGTAACCCCAACACCAACCCTCCCTGTAACCCCAACACCAACCCTCCCTGTAACCCCAACACCAACCCTCCTGTAATCCCAACACCAACCCTCCCTGTAATCCCAACACCAACCCTCCCTGTAATCCCCACACCGACCCTCCCTGTAATCCCAACACCGACCCTCCCTGTAATCCCAACACCGACCCTCCCTGTAATCCCAACACCGACCCTCCCTGTAATCCCAACACCGACCCTCCCTGTAATCCCAACACCGACCCTCCCTGTAATCCCAACACCGACCCTCCCTGTAATCCCAACACCGACCCTCCCTGTAACCCCAACACCAACCCTCCCTGTAATCCCAACACCAACCCTCCCTGTAATCCCAACACCAACCCTCCCTGTAATCCCAACACCAACCCTCCCTGTAACCCCAACACCAACCCTCCCTGTAATCCCAACACCAACCCTCCCTGTAATCCCAACACCAACCCTCCCTGTAATCCCAACACCAACCCTCCCTGTAATCCCAGCACCAACCCTCCCTGTAACCCCAACACAACCCTCCCTGTAATCCCACCAACCCTCCCTGTAACACCAACCCTCCCTGTAACACCAACCCTCCCTGTAATCCCAGATCAAATCCCCCCTGCCTCTAAGTGTCCCTGTAACCCCACTATTGGGCACCCACCCCAATCTATGCTTTGTGGTTTATCGCCCTTCAGTATCGATCTGGATTTTCTATTTCCCGTCTATTGAAGACTCAGCATTGAGGTTGGTCGGTAGTTGAGTTTAGTAGGCTCACCCCAATGATGAGTGTACATAGCATTCTGTGTGACAGGCCTGACCCCGGCAGTGTCCTTGGAGATGATGTCACAGCGTTGGTCATTGTTGCCGGCTGACAGTCCTGGCGTGAAGTCCCGGCTTTGCATTGCGCGGTCCTTTCATCTTCATGGACAGACATACATGGCAGGATTGTCCTGTGCCCGGCGGTGTTTGTGTCATAGGTTATTACAGGCTGCGCGCTCAGGGTCACCTTCCATGACTCGTGCGCTATTTCTGTGCACTCAAACCGCCGTGTCACCGTCACATGGCTTTGTAAAGTGGTGACCGGGTCCTGGGAATTGGGTGGTAAACAGCAACACTGACCACTCAGATTCCAGTGAGGACTTTGGAGGCCAATCATAGAGACGTTTGCTTAAATGTCAGATGCAAAACAGACGTAAAAAGTTACTAAATAAAAAGGAATTTGTTTGGCGTCTTTAATGGCCCAGTGGCGGGCCTTGTTTATTCTGTGCACAGGATGGATTTGTGTATTAAACAGACGGTTACCAGCCCCCCCCTTTTCAGAGCCTAGGCTATATTTGGGAGGTTATGCTGTCAGGGAGATGATCAAGTTTAGCACATGTCCTCATCCAGTATTCCCCATTAGTTGCTGATCCACCACAGACGGCCAGAAGTTCTCCCCTCTCAAGTGTCACCCCAGAGGCCTCTCCATTCTCTTCTTTCTGCTTTACTTACCGGCATGTTTTTGGTTCTTCTAGCCACACCGGAGTTGAAGGAGTTCTTTGCCAAGGCTCGGAATGGATCCATCCGGCTTATAAAAGTTGTCATTGAAGATGGTGAGTGTTATCCTGAGGGGATGAAAAAGGGGGAATTAAGGGGCCAATGGATGGAGAGGGTCCAGTGAAGGGCCATGGCATGAATCGGAACAGTGAGGGTACCATGGGTAGAGAGAAGATGGTGAAGGGGAGATGGATATTGAGGGACTATGGATGGAGAGGGAAAGGTGAGAGGTCCATGGGTAGGGAGGGGACAATTAGGAGCCATGGGTAAAGAAGGAGACATGGAAGGACCATGCATTAGTGGGAACAGTGAGGGGCCCAGGGGTAGAGAGGGGATGGTGAAGGGGAGATGGATATTGAGGGACTATGGATGGAGAGGGAAAGGTGAGAGGTCCATAGATAGGGAGGGGACAATTAGGAGCCATGAGTAAAGAAGGAGACATGGAAGGACCATGCATTAGTGGGAACAGTGAGGGGCCCAGGGGTAGAGAGGGGATGGTGAAGGGGAGATGGATATTGAGCTCACATTGGGGACTTATGGATGGAGAGGGAAGGGTGAGAGGTCCATGGATAGGGAGGGGGTAAAGAAGGAGACATGGAAGGACATGGAAGGACCATGAATTAGTGGGAACAGTGAGGGGCCCAGGGGTAGAGAGGGGATGGTGAAGGGGAGATGGATATTGAGGGCACATTGGGGACTATTGAGGGCTCATAGGGTGAGAGGTCCATTGATAGGAAGTTGACAATGAGGAGCCATGGGTAAAAAAGGGATTATGAGGGGGCCATGGGCAAAGAAGGGGACAGTGAAGGCCCATGGCATGAATAGGAACAGTGAGGGGCCCATGGTTAGAGATGGGATGATAAAGAGAAATTGGATTGGGGGAAGATAATAAGGAACTAAGGATGAAGAGAGAAGGGTGAGAGGTCCATGGATAGATAGGGGACACTGAGGAGCCAGGGGTAAAAGGGGGATGATGAGGAGGCCATGGACAAAGAAGGGGACAGTGAAGGGCCATGGTATGAATGGGGGAACAGTGAGGGGCCCATAGTTTGAGATGGAATGATAAAGAGGAATTGGATTGGGGGGGGGGGGGGGGGGTGGCGATATTAAGGAACTGAGGATGAAGAGGGAAGGGTGAGAGGTCCATGGATAGATAGGGGACAATGAGGAGCCATGGGTAAAAGGGGGATGTTGAGGAGGCCATGGACAAAGAAGGGGACAGTGAAGGGCCATGGCATGAAATGGAGCAGCGAGGGGCCCATGGTTAGAGATGGGATTGTGAAGAGGAGTTGGATGGGGAGGGCACATTTGGGAAGTATGGAGGGAGAGGGATGGATGAGAGGTCCACGGAAAAAGAGGGCACAATGAGGAGCAACGGGTAAAGATGGATGATGAGGAGGCCATGGATAAAGAAGGGGACACAGAGGCAATGCATTAGTGGGAACAGTGAGGGTCCCATGAGTAGAGAGAGGATGGTGAAGAGGAGATGGATATTGAGGGTACATTGGGGGACTATGGATAGAGAGAGAAGGGTGAAAGCTCTGTGGTTAGAGCGAGGACAATGAGGAGCCATGGGTAAAGAGGGGATGATGAAGGGGGCATGGATTGAGAGAGAATAGTGACTAGTTTCTAGATGGAGCAGCAGCCTTGGATAGAGAAATGACAGAGGACCATGGATAGAGAGGGAAGTCTGAGGAGGTGATGATATAGAGGAGATGGCGTAGAGGTGAAGAACAGAGGAGGAACGTGGAGGATGCACAGGATGTAAGAGGTGGTGGAAAGGTAACGGATAGAGATGGGAAAAGGATGGAGTGGATAATGGAGAGGGAACAGAATGGCTTAATGGATAGTGAGGGAGCCATGAATATGGAAAGAACAGAGATGGAACAGTGATGAGACAATGGATGTAGAGGGGATTGTAAAGGGCAATGGCGTGAGTGGGAACAGTGAGGGGCCCATAGGTAGAAAAGGGATGCAGAAGGGGAGTCGAATGGAGAGAGCATATTGAGGGGCTACAGATGGAGAGGAAAGAGTGAGAGGTCTGTGGATAGGGAAGGGACATTGAGGATCCAAGGATAAAGATGGGGGCCATGAATAGAGAGAGAACAGTGGCCAGTTCTTGAATGGAGAGAGGGTCTTGGATATAGAGATGACAATAAGGGGGCCATTGATAGGGGATAGTGAGGGAACTGTGGATGGAGAGGGAACATTTGGGAGACAATGGATGAAGAAGGGATAGTGAGGGCGCCGTGGACAGAGAGAGGCTTTGAGGGGGTGATGGGATAGATAGTTGGGTGGTGGAGAGGTAACAGAAAGAGATGGGAACAGTAACGGGGTGATGAATAGTGAGGAAGCCATGGATGAAAAGGGAACAGAGATGGAACAGTGATGAGAGAATGGATGCAGAAGGAGCAATGAAAGGCCGTGGTATGAGCAGGGACAGTTAGGGTCCCGTGTGTAGAGAGGGTATGGTGAAGATGAGTTGGATGGAGAGGGCATATTGTACTGAATGGAGAGAGAAGGATGAGAGGTCTGCAGACAGAGGACAATGAAGAGCCATGTGTAAAGAGGGGTTTATGGAGGGGCCATGGATTGACAGGGAACATTGACCAGATCCTTGATGGAAAGGGGGGGGTCTTGTGTAGAGAGATGACATTAAGGAGGTAATGGATAGAGAGATGACAATGGGGGGGGGGGGTCATAGATAGAGAAGGAATGCTGTAAAGGTGATGAATAGAGGAGGGACACAGCTTAGATGAAGAATCCAGAGGATGTAAAGGGGATGATGGACAGTGAGGGAACCATGGATGGAAAGGGAGCATTAAGGAGACAATGGATGGAGTGGGGACAGTGAGAAGGCCATGGATAGAGAGGGGTTGCTGTAGAGGTGATGAATAGAGGAGGGACGTAGCTGAGGTGGGGGATTGTGAGATTGTAAGAATGTGGTGGGCTGTGAGGGAACCATGGATGGGGAGGGAACAGAGAGAGGATGGTGAGGGGCTGATGGGATAGATAGTGGGCAGTGAAGAGGTGATCGATAGAGATGGGGAAAGAATGAAGTGGAGGATTTAGAGGGAACAGTAAGCAGGTGATGGGTAGTGAGGGATTCAAGGATGGAGAGGGAACAGTAATGAGAGTAATGAGACAATAGATGTAGAGGGGACAGTGAAGGGTCATGGCATGAGTGGGTACGGTGTTCCATGGGTACAGAGTGCAAGTGTATGATCCAAACGCACACGTTCCTGCATTAAAAATGGCTGTGTGTATAAGTGGGTGCTGCAGTGCCTTGCTGTAACTATGTGATGGTTTATTAAAACCTTTGGATCCATATTGGTGATCCTTGGTGTGCTGGTGACATTTTTTCCTTCCATGGATACAGAGGGGATGGTGAAGAGGGGTTTTATTGAGAGGGCATATTGAGGAATGATGTCTGGAGAGAGAGGGGTGAATGGTCTGTGGATAGAGAGAGGACAATGAGGAGCCATGGGTAAAGAGGGGATGATGAGGGGGATGATGAGGGGGTCATGGATTGAGAAGGAACAATGACCAGTTCCTGGATGGAAGAGGGGTCATGAATAGAGAGATGACAATGAGGGGGTCCTGGATGGAAAGATGACAATGGGGTGGGGGGGGGGGGGTGTCATGGATAGAGAAGGAATGCTGTAGAGGTGATTAATACAGGAGGGACACAGCTAAGGTGAAGGCTGGAGAGAATATAAGGGGGGTGATGGACAGTGATGGAACACCAGATGGAGAGGGGGGGGCAGTGAAAGAGTGATAGATGGAGAGGACATGGTAAAGGTAATGTGGATAGAGAAGGGAGAGAAATAGAGGAATGGATAGAGGTGGGACTATGGATGGAGCGGGAACTGTGATTGAGAGGACATGGTGAGGGGAGTATGGATGAAGAGAGGACAGTAATGGGGTGATGGATAGAGATGGGACTGTGGATTGAGAGGGAACAGTAAGGGGACATAGAATATAGAGGGAACAGTGAAATAGTTACAGTGGGGAAAATAATTATTTGATTCCCTGCAGATGTTGTCAGTTTGCCCACTTACAAAGAAATGAAGGGTCTATAATTTTTATCATAGATGTATTTTAAATGATAGAGACAGAATATTAACCAAAAATCTAGAAAAAAAAAACATGACACAAATGTTATACATTGTGTTGCAGTTCAGTGAGTAAAGTAAGTATTTGATCCCCTACCAACCAACAATGATTCTGGCTCCCACAGACTGGCTATGTACAGATTAATCCTGTCAATTTAAGAAGGTGCTCCTAACGATAACTATATGTCGCGTCGTGTATAAAAGACACCTGTCCACAGAATCTCTTTCTTCCATTCGAACCTCACCATCATGGGCAAGACTAGAGAGCTGTCAAAGAACACCAGGGAAAAGATTGTAGATGTGTACAAGGCTGGAACGGGCTATAGGATCATCAGCAAGAAGTTTGGTGAGAAGGAAACAACTGTTGGAGGGATTATTCGCAAATTAAAGAAATACAAAATAACTATCAATCGCCCTCGGTCTGGAGCTCCATGCAAGTTTTCGCATCATGGGGTAAGGATGACCATGAGGAAAGTGATTGATCAGCCCAGAACTATACGGGAAGAGCTTGTGAATGATCTCAAGGCAGTTGGGACCACAGTCACCAAACAAACCATTGGTAACACAATACACTGCCATGGATTGAAATCCTGCAGTGCCCGCAAGGTCCCCCTCCTCAAGAAGGCCCATGTACAGGCCCGTCTGAAGTTTGCCAGTGACATCTGAATGATTCAGAGAAAATGCTGTGGTCAGATGAGACCAAAATGAGCTATTTGGCATTAACTCAACTCGCCGTGTTTGGAGGAAGAAATATGCTGACTATGACCCTAAGAACACCATTCCCACAGTCAAGAACGGAGGTGGAAACATTATGGCTGTTTTGTTGTGGCTGTTTTTCTGCTAAAGGTACAGGCCGATTTTGCCGCATTGAGGGGCCAATGGACGGGGCCATGTATTGTAAAATCTGAGAACCCTCTTCCCTCAGCCAGAACACTGAAGAT